GTTTGCCTGATCGTTCGAACAGGAGGCAACAAGTTACAGTAGCCATCACATATAGGTATTTAATACTATTTTTTTCATAAGAATCAAAGGCCATCATGCGGTCTCTTGCCATCTTATGGAAGTTTTGAATTTCAATGAGTGGAAAGTGGTCGAAAAGTTGTTAGTTAACTATAAGGTGGGTTTATTGTTAACGGGGCATGACAAGGCCTTTCAAATTACCCAAAACCCGCTAAAACCATTAAGGAATCAATCTTGATCAGAATATTTGCCCTGTATATGGAAAGAGTGCCAAACTGCAAATTTCGTTAACATATGCAACATTGAGGAAGCTTTCCATTGTATTAACTTAACAGGCCGATCAGAAGGACATTAGCAGACATTTCAAGGTACCCCTTCACGAAAATGGCGACCATCCAACTGGAACATTCCAGTGGATCCCAGGTGGTTTAAAGGGTTGGAATGTAGAGAATTACACTTTCGAAAAGTGTGCCAATGCCCCTGACTTTTTAATCCTACAGAATAGGGCAGCTAAAGACTCTTACCGACTGAATTCATTGTAATGGCGTCATTCATTTTGAAAATCACCGCACTTCCCAAAGAAACTCCTCCAGTTCCGTTCTGGCTTTGCTGATGCGAAATATTCAGATTGACTGACACCAATTGGCCGGTTTGCATGTTACACTTGTAATTGATACACTGCTCTTCATTACTTTGCAACGAAAACTCCACCAAAAATGTCGATTAGAAAATATTGCGTTTTCTGCCACCCATCCACATCTGCCTTCTTTGATCAAAACTGGATTTTCCCTGTACTGCGCAGACGCGACAAACTCCGAAATTTTCCACTAGGGCAATAATGCCACATTCGCCAAATGGCTAGAGCCTGGTGGCTTGACTATGGAGCCAATGAATGCAAAAGCTGGGAAAAATATCTGAGTTCGACAATGCCGCATGGAAACTTTCTGAACAGAGTTGCCGCTTTCCTATGCAAAACTGCGCCTAATACACTTTATTCGAACTTGAGCGCACCAAAATAAAGTACTTGAATTACCCAATTTCTACAAGTTTTTCCTCAATGCAGGATAAGTGTTTGGGTGCAGAATCAACTATTACATCTGGACTTGTGACAAAAAGGCAACTGCGCCCAGCTGGTGGCGCTCTCTATCTCTTGTCAATCGCAATGCCTCTTTTCTAGTGTTAAATGTCAGTTGTCATTTTGCCATCATCAATAGAATTTTAGCAAAAGCGAGAAAAAAATTTAGCCAAAGTTCACGAGAGTTTAAAGGACCTTAAAAGTTCGACTGCAAAGTAAGTAGAATTTGCTAGTGAGCCATCGCTATGCAAGACTCCGGTGTTGGGTTCTAGGTATAAAACCATCGTCCTGTTAGACGTCCTGTTGTTGGTAGCAAAGGCCTTGTAGAACAACTTCCTGTTTCAATCAATTTCCAAGCGTGCAGGTTTCAACTACATACACTTCCGGTTTTCAATGTTTTCTAAAATAGTTTCCCACTGCTTGGGATTTAGCCCGACCACCACTGCTTTATGTCTTTTGCGGTGTTTATGTTTCGGTTGGAATTTCATCTGTTTACTGCTAAAAGCTTCAAAGTTAGTTCACATCGTCTCTTTGGCCGGTTCTTCGTCATGGTCATTGATTTCGTTACCCAGTAATTGATGAAAGACTTCAACATCTCTTCTCTGATCTGCTTTTAGATGCCCAAGATTAAACTCCAATCTTCAGATGGGGAGACATTCGATGTGGACGTAGAGATTGCAAAATGCTCCGTGACTATTAAGACCATGTTGGAAGATCTTGGTATGGATGATGAAGAAGAAGAAGTGGTTCCTCTGCCAAACGTGAACTCGGCCATTCTACGCAAAGTCCTGCAATGGGCCACTTTCCACAAGGACGACCCGCCACCGCCAGAAGATGACGAAAATAAGGGTAAGTTGGGGCAACAATCTTTTCTTGGGACTGTGATAAGTAATTAACAAAAGCTGTTTCCTCACATGTCGCCCGTTTTTCTAGTCTTCCTCAGGGCAGTACATTATAGGCACAAGTGCCAAGACAGCAGAGTACGATTTTTTCTGTTTTGAGTACGAAGTAGTGCGTAATAAAAATAATTTTTTTTATAGAAAAGCGAACAGACGATATCTCGTCATGGGATGCGGACTTCTTAAAAGTTGATCAGGGTACTTTATTTGAGCTAATATTAGCTGCAAACTACTTGGATATTAAGGGCTTGCTGGATGTCACTTGCAAAACAGTGGCCAACATGATCAAAGGCAAAGCACCGGAAGAGATTCGTAAAACGTTCAACATTAAGAATGACTTCACTGCCTCCGAAGAGGATCAAGTGCGCAAAGAGAACGAATGGTGCGAAGAAAAATAGACCTACTTGTACTGTCGTGAGTTTCATCTGATTCTCTACTATTTATAATTATTAGGGTGCAAAGAATTAATGTAAATTTCAGCATTTTAAAAAGTGCAATGTTTCGCAACTGGAAAGATTCCTCGAATCCCTTAAATGCTAATTTATTTACTTGTGTTTCTAATAAATTTAACTTACTCAACGGACTTTGGGCTTTACCTACCCATCACATGTTCATCCACACAGTTATAAATAATACACGATTTTGATATGAGCGTCACGGTCCTCTGTCAACACATTTTAATATACTCACTACAACATAAATTAAGACATTAATTTACTAACTAAATTTACATTAACTGAGAAACTATACAACTTATTTCGAATGCAAGCTTTCACTTTAAAGTACATGAACAGAAGTTTTAAATTATGGTTTACTCCTGGGTAAACTTACTTAAATGATGCCCCAGTGGCACCCAGTAATAGCTATTTTAACCGTAGTAACTTCGGCCAATAATTATATGAAAACCCTCAAAAGAAGAGTTTTTAGTCGTTGTATAAATATCCATCCAGTAGTTACTATTAGTCAGGGTATTTGAACAAAATACCCAGAGTTATTTTAAGTAAAAGCAAATGTACTTTTTTTATGTTTCGTATAGGTGTAGTTTTCATAGAATTATCCGCGTCAGTTTCTATGTATATTTTGTACAACCACCAGACTCAAAACACCGAAAAAATACAGGCAATCACGATTTTTACAATACTTCACATTTTGGGTATTAGTAGTAGGTACTTCTTTACACCTAAGGACGTAAGGCTACAACAGTAAAGGATTTTCCAGCGCAACCGTCAAATAAATACAAAATAATTTAATATTGCACTGTATGTTGCAGTTTGACACCGCGGTTTGCTCCTGATGAGAAAAAGTGAACATTTTTGGCCCGAGAAAACAAAACAGAATATTTTACGAAACTCGTTGCAGCGCATCCCTTATATGCCTTGCACCTAGAAAGACACACATATCGCACAAATATTTATCAGTCAGTCAATAAACGATTAGCTAGCCATCCTTAATTAAAAATTCATCACATTCTTTATCCAAATCCTTAGATATATTCTGGTTGGCCTGGTCGTTTTCAAACTCGACAAAATCGTCAAACAAACTCGGCCAGGCCTCATTATCATCGTAACAACTTAGATCACTGCCCACATGGTCTGAAAAGTTCAGGAACATGTTCCATGTATCCTTCGGGATGCCTCGGATCAATGGATGGGTTTCGAGGAAATTCAGCCATCGGTTTAGGATGGGGGGCTCTCGAATGGTAAACACTAACTTCCAGAGCACAATCGCCATGCTAGTCGGTAATATTCGTTGACCTATTTGGATGTCCAGGCCAAACTTGAACGCAAACCTACTCAAAATGGATTAATCAGTGAGAACTTTATTTTGATTTCAAATGCTTTATGATGTTGGCGGTCAGGGCTAATTTTTTAATTTAATAGATACGCATCAAACTACTTCTTTCCTCACAAGAGATAAATTCTGCCATTTCCATTGTTGATAATGGAGCGGGTGTTTGATTAGAATCCATTGAATATTTATAGATATACATAAAAAAAACTGATCCTGTATATTTTCTCGGGTTTCTTTGGGAAGAAATGCTTCCAAACAGGAGCTAACTGGCACTCACCTATAGAGGTCCTTGTATAACTCGTCGCTTTCTTCGACTTCTTGAACTAATTCGGGCAGACGGCTCTGTATGGATTTGATCGAGTCACATTTTATGGATTTCAGCCCATTTACAAATTCCGCTCGGCTAAATCTGCACATTTGCTCGGCGTTCAGTTTCCAGGCTAGAATCAGGATTTTGAAATCGTCCGGCAGAATTGTCAAATCCTTGCAGAACTGGTCGATGCCTTCGGCCAGAATGGCGTCTTCCTGATCATCCTTGTAGTGCTCGAAAAGGCCATTTACCTAATTGGAAATGCTATTTAGTACCGAATTATCGGTTTTCTTATTGCTGTGCGTCTTACCTTCAGATCTGACGGTTTGCTATCACTGACACCCATTGTAGGGGCCGATCTTGAGGTAGCTCTTCTACTTGGCTGGTAAAATCGATTTATTGCTGTTGCAGATGCACTTTCGGTCGGTGTACCCAAGTGATTTCCTACACGGAAGTAACCCTAGATTTAGTTTGCAGGCCTTAGATTTTAGCGCCTTCTTACCGTTGCTTAGAAGTGTGTCCAGTGGAGCTGAGGAGGCAGGTACATGACTGGGAGCTGCGTACAATCGAACTTCTGGCATCTCTAAAACAGCACGCAATGTCGATTAGTCAAGCTTTTCACTTACAGGCTGACCTACCTTCTTTGTTACAATTTGGGGCAACAGAATCTGATGCCAACTGTTCTGGCTCCTTGCAGCAATTCAAACAATTTCCCATTGGATGACCCCAAACCTATCCTTTCAGGCTGCTCTCTTAATGTCCTTTGCATTGCCCTAATATATAAGACTGTCATTAGCTGATCATAGACTAAACAAGATAAATGCGTTATTAGTTGGCTGCATAGTAGAAGTTAAACAGGTAGTCTTTTGAGGCGCTACATAACTGGGGTGGTTTTAAAACGACTGAATCTACATTTGAATTAGGATTCCAAACATTGGCCTTTCAACGTATCCACATACCTTTAAACAACCAGAAATCAACTGAGTGTGAGTAGCCAACTAAAATATGCACTCAATTCATAAATTGTACTTGATAAACAGGAGGAACAACGCACCGCAGGAAATTGCAAGTCTAAACTTGCTGGGTGCCTTATGAAAATAAACACATGCATTTCTCGACGACTTGTAGCCTTGATCTGATTGTGTGTCTGGAAAACATACTTACTGCCAATTATTTTCTCAGTATTTGATCTCAAAGGGGTCCCCTAGCACAAAAAATACTGTACATTTCTATATAAAAAATGGAAACTTGACAAGGTACCCTGTCCATTTTTTTATGCGGTGGAATGGTTCCGAATACATTTAGCACATGTTTGATGGCACTATTAAATGTTTTTCTTCCTGCAAATTGCTGTAAAACTGGAAAAATGCTATTAAGATAGAAAAAGAGGAGCAATTTTAACAAAGTTAAATCTCCCCTGAGAAGTTTTGACACTAGTCAAATGTCGGTGTCAGTTCAAATGCCCGGTTGCATTTCATTTTGCGCCAAAACTACAATTTTTGCTGCTGGAAAAATCGGTTTTTAAAATTTCGGGCAATAGCGCAGCTTAAAACACAGCAATACATGGAGGAAATATTTTTAAAAAATTACTGTTCAGGGCAAGACAGACAAAATTAAAGTATTATTGCGCCACTCTTGGCAGCGCCGCTTGAAAGTATCAGGACTTGTCAGCGACATAACCTCGCAATTATCATTGTTTCTAAATATATGATAATAAATATAATGATATTTTCCACGCAATGGCGAGCATTTCCTATTGTTTATTAATATCGCTAACCCTCTTAGTAGTGAGTAGTTCTGGCGCCAACAAATGCCTGAAGGCAGATCCCTGCTTGTGTTCTCTGGATGATTATTTCTTTATCGATATATCGCAAGTGAGTTCAGGACCAGTTTTCCTGGAAGATCGTCTTGGAAACTTTTCTTACTTCTTCGCTGGATGCCAGGACAGAGAATTCAAGTCTACAGACTATCAGCTGTTCACAAACACTACGCTAAAAGGGGTCTCAGTAAGTGCATATTCAATCCAGTGGTTGCTCCCAATGCATTTTGGTAGAAGGTTCAAGATTAGGGAATTATAGTCCTTGAGACGCTCGCTCGGAGAAAATGTATTGATTTTACTGATTTTCAACCGTTTTTTAGTTATAATTGACTAAAGCAAAATAGTAAAGTGTAATTTGAAGTGTTTGGAAGATTCGATAGTTTTAAACGTGAAGCACCCGGAGATTTGTTAGCTAGAACGTAGCTCAGGGAATGATTTTTCCAATTAGCATCTTTTGGGATCAAAGTAACTGTTTATTAATCATTTTAGCTCGTCAAGTGCGAAAGACACATAGAGACTCAAGTGAATGCTACTACTTTCTTTGTGAAAGACACTTGTACATCCATTGGAGATGCCAAAGACATAGTCTTCGACTTGTTGCCCAATGCGAATTCGCATACCAATGAGTATCAAGTCGTATTCAAAGGCAGCCAACCGCCTACTAAGTAAGTTAATTGAAATCAGTCGAAAATTGCTCTTCACTGGTGTTTGGTTGTTTAGAAGCTCCCCCACAATCCAGCTGGCTTGCAGCAGCTACAACAGAACCGACTTGAAAGTGCTAAACACTGTTTCGGATGTAAGTTCACGTTAAAGACGCAGTTCCAATCTTAATCTGGAGTTTGTAGGTGTTGATTCTGTACTCGCCCTTGGTGTGCATTCAGCAGATCGCTCACCATGAGCTGAGCACTGGATCGATTTTTTGCGTGATATTTTTTGTGGCCGCCTTGACTTACTTTGTTGGAGGCGGATTGATTATGTATTTCGCTCGCGGAGCCAGAGGAGTGGAAGTGATACCCAACTTCGACTTTTGGGCCTCCATACCCGGACTTGTTAAAGTAAGAGCTTTTTTGATTGGTGGCCGCATAGATGGTTTGGAAAAGTGTCTCGTTAACGGTGAATTTGTTGAAATTTTAGGATGGATTAGTCTATGTTTTGAGTGGATGTCGGCCCTTCACAGTGGCCACTGCCGAGTCATATGATAGGATATAAGTGTATCGCACGTAGTCTTCAAAATGTAATATAAAAATGGGTTTTTTAAATACATATAGTGTCTCATTTCCCTTTTAATGCTTGAATTAGACACAGGAAAGGACTGCCTTTAAGGTGTTGAAAGCAATAAGACCTGCAGTGCGTGATAAAAAAATACGTACTTTATCAATTAAACCTTGACAATAAATTACAGTATATAAAGTTAAAAAAAACAATCTCAACGCATCTTCTAAGTGCTAAAACAACAACTGATTACCAATATTGTAAAATGCTGCATAAAGTAACTTAAGTTTTTAATAAGACATAAAAAAACCAATCTGATCAGCGTTTGTTGCCATCGAAAACAAGCTTGCCGAATCACTCGTAGACCAAAGTAGTCGCTAATGCATATTACTATAACGTTAAATAAATAACTTCTTATTTTATTATTAAGGGTACTTAGAGTAGTATAGATATATCCCATTAAATTGGGCGCAGCGATACAATTCGGGAACCTTTGCAATGAGTTGAACAAGAACCACTATGCAGCTATTTACTGCTTACCCTTGTTCCACTCATTTAGAGATTTTAAAGATATTGTTCCAGGAGCGCAGTGCGATAAAAGTCCTATAAAGGAACTTTTACAATTGACTACAATTGGGTGGTTTGAAAACTTTCGCAAGCTGAAAGCTTCAAAAGTATAGAGTCACTAAGTGATTAAGTTCAGCAGATGCTACTTGCGTATGCAATGAGGTTTAGAGCTTGTTTAAACAATTTTAGTGAAAGGACAGCGCGAAATCGCAAATATCTGCAATCAACAGTAAGAATTCCTCAATCTGTTTACCTGCTCGGCACGAAGTAGGACAGGAGTAGTTTCTTAGGTGGGCAAATATTTACCATGCTGGTGCGCTTTGGGTCTATATAAAGGTTCCAAAGAGGGACTTTTTGAACTTTGAACCATTCAGCTTAAACTTCCTCGTTCATTGCAGCGTTGAGAGGCCGCAAGACGATTCGTGGGTCGTTTTCCACCATTCGGTCGGCGTCTTCGTTACTGCAATAGCAAAAAAGCGTGATTTTTCGCATGCTTCACATGCAAGTAGAATGTGGTGATTTTACCTAATTTCCTTGTTTCCTTGCGGCATCAGCTTGCTCTGCTCAGGATCGTCGCATTTCGTTCGTTCATACACCACTTCCGAAACAGGTGCATACTGTGCAGTTACCAACAAGTCTGTCGAAGGATTTACCGTCAGGTTCTGGCCACTTGAGGAACCCATATGGTCTTTAGGCTCGCGCTTAAACTGTCCCTTGATTCTCAAGTAGATTACTGCAATGGTTTAATGTATTTTTACCGCATCTTGGATGCTGCGTGTATTTAACTTTTACTGCTAACGTATTTTATTCGATTGTTCGATTGGTAAATTTAAAAAGTACAGGTTTTTTATTTTCCGCACATTTTGAGCGTTCGCGATCTTTAACCGACGATTTCGTCATTATTCTTGACCCAAACATAAAGATAAATGCATATTTGTGACCTTCTTAAGTCGAAAGGAGTCGATTGAGCTCAAAAAACACGCATGTGAAATCTTGATTTTTGGACGAAATTTTTCCAATGAGGTCGATTTTTTGAAAAATATAAAATTTTCTCAAAACGTCTTGGATTTAACATCGTTTTAAATTAAAATTAGCATCACTTTAAATCTCTTAAATTTTACATCGAACTCATTGAAAAACTTGGTAGAAGTTTCAGATCCGAAATAATAGACATTTTCGGCACATTTATAGCGTTTTTTGAGCGTTCACGATCTTCAGCCGACGATTTCTTCCTGATTATTGACCCAAACGCTTTATAAATGCACATTTATGACATTCTTACGTCGAAAGGAGTCGATTGAGCTCACAAAACACGCACGAGAAATTTTGATTTTTGGTCAACATTTTTCAAAGGATGGGGGTCGATTTTTGGAAAAAATGAAAATTTTCTTTAAATCTCTTAAATTTTACATCGAACTCATTGAAAAACTTGGTAGAAGTTTCAGATCCGAAATAATAGACATTTTCGGCACATTTAAAGCGTTTTTTGAGCGTTCACGATCTTCAGCCGACGATTTCTTCCTGATTATTGACCC